ACTACATTTCAACTTTAGCTACCCTTTAGCTACATTTCGCCTTTAGCTACCCTTTTGCTACATTTTACTTTTAACTACCTTTTAGTCACGTTTCGCTTTTAGCAAAACTTTTGCTACATCTCACATTTCGCTATACCCTTTAGCCATATTTAGCTTTCCTCCTGCAACATTTATCTTTAGCCATTCTAAAACATTTGGCATTTAGCTAGTGTTCTGCTCCGTTCAGCTTTAGGAACTCTGTTCCAGCTTCTTCAGCAGATTTCAGCATCATTCAGTGTTCCCTTCATCTTAACATCATTTCCCTTCGTTACTTTTTCACTTGAAATAAAAAACTTCCACTTAGACGAAATAAAGCAGCTTAAACTTCTCAGCTTCAGTTAACTAAAGTATTTTTGAGTTCAGCATCTTTCTCTGCTGAATCAAAAATCATTCTTCAGTTCCGGTCACAGAAAATCACCATTTATCATGAATTTATTACAAAAAAAACAAAATACGTGTCTAATTAACCTACGGAGGAACGCGTCTTTTCAGTGTCAAACACAAAATTATTCCTTTTTTTTTTAAAGGGAACCCACTTTTAAGTTTTAGAGTTTACAGCAGTTCTTTTGTCAACTCTACAACTGAAGAATGACACGACTCGTCTCCGACTCGAACACCGGGTCAAACCACTTGACCCTTTAAATCAGCAAGTCATCAAAACAACCCGGAGTTTTTAGTGTGTACTCACTGCAAACTTTGAAATTAAACGGTTCATCCCAAACTTTAGTAAACGGTGCAGTTTAGTAGTTTTTTCCTGAACTATATTGGTACGCGATTCTGAAATGTGGGCCCACACTCAGTGTAAACAAAACACTTATCTGCAGCAAAACCGAGCGTCAATACGTACCCGAACAATCCTCTCCATCCAAATGAGCTCTTTCATGGCTGTTGTTGAACCATTTTCAGTCAAGTTTTAATTTAAGTTCACGTTGAACATCAATATAAGGAACAAATTAGACAAAAAGAACAAACTTAAATAAAAAAAGCTGAATAAAAAGCTAGCTTTAAATATAGTACTTTCCTTTGTGACCACTAGAGGGCAGTGTGTGACCAGGTTTTATTTACTCAGCTCCTCCTAATAAAAATATAAACGGAGTATTCAAATAAGAGTGAACATGTTTTTTAATATCTTAAACATCTGTGCAACATTATTCAAAATGTTACATCACTGCATGACCTGTAATGTTTCACAATATTTACATTAAAAAATGCTGCTTACATCAAACCGATAAAATAAAATAAAAACGTCCAGACAGTTTCAGGCGTATGGACTCGACACACTATCTCTAACCCACATTAACGCAGAAAAGAAAACAAAAACTTCACACACGTCTGTTTCTCTTGTAAAAGTATATATTAGTGACAAATATATACTCAACCACGAGCTGGAGAAATCAAATACTGACAACAGAAAGGAGTTTAAAGATAGGAAAATAAATTGATCACACTCGCACCTCAACACAAACGATCACAAGCAAAAAGGAAGAAAACGTCCGACACAAAGAACGTGTGGGTTCCCGACACGAGACTGGCTTCCTGCAGGTCATTGCACCAAAAATAAAAATAAAATCATTAAATTAAACGTGGGGCAGAAGAGCAGAATGAACTTTACCAAAAGAGCGTTCTCGATACAGAACGACACGCTTTGAAAACATTTCTCGTACAAGTGCAAGCTGAAAACAAAAAAATTAAATAAATGCACATTCTACCCTGTGTACATAATTTCGCTCCACCACATGTACCACATGAGGTGCGAATGACAATAAAGAAACTCTGACTCTGACTGATTCAGAGAAATAATGTCGTCCC